ACGAGCACCTCCCACATTAGAGTCACCCCCCTCCCGTGTGGCGTTTTTCTTTTGACCACATTTGGTTTTTTGGGACCCTTCACCAAAGTTGGGATTGCTTGGTGGATGAATGAATGTTGAGTAATTGTAATGAACATGGAAGTGCTATCGATTCTATAATATTTTCGTCTAACTCTGATTTTGTAAATAGATTAAATTCTTTTAAATTATCTGGTAGCTTTATATCGTTAAATTGATTGATGGCCAATGTTAGTTTTGAAAGTGAATTTGGGAAGGAGATCTGTTCGAAATTATTAGTTAACTGAATATCGCAGTTGAATGGGAAAAAAAGCTCTTCTAAACTATCTGGCAAGATACTTGTATTAAGTGTGACTTGTTTATTGAATACTCTAAGCATTAATAGTGATTTGGGTAGTGAGTCAGTTTCAAAGCAGTCACAAAGAGTTGGGCTCTCAATAAACTTTATATCCAGCTGTTTTAAATTTGGAGGCAGCACACCTTTTCTTATCTGATATCCATAGGGATCCAATTTTAGACATGTTAGTGATGGAGGTAATAGATTTGGTGGTAATTCTTGTTCATTAATTTCCCAATTTTTGTAGAGCCTTAATCTTTCTAGCTTTATGGCGGGTGATGAATTAAATATTTGCATTAAAGTCTCGATTCTTTGATATTCCATATCTAGTGATTTAAGCCATTGTGGAATCACTCTGAATGTATAAGACCCCAAGAGTAACGACTCTATATTCATTGGCAAGCTTTCTAATGATACGTTTTCATTTAATGTATAGTTTTCGAGTACCAATCTATTTAAAAAAGGTTTGAATTTATAATTTCTAAAAGAATCTATTGAATGGAAAACTCTTTGATAGTTGAATATTTTAAAAACTCTAAGAAAAAAAAGTATTTTTTTTCTTAAAAAAATATTACTCCAAACAAGATTGAAATTATATGTATTATTTATAATTTTATCTTTCATTATTACTATTACTATTCTATTAATTATTAATTATTACTTTTTGTCATGACAAAGTATACTCTAGTAATCTATTTTTTTTTTTTTTTTTTTTTATTACATTTCCAAAACAATGTAATTTAAAAAATATTTATTATTATTATATGCTGGTTATATATTGATTCATTATTTAATATTGATGTGTCAGTATGGAAATTTGTTGTGGGGGAAAACAAAATAAATTAAAAAAATAAAATTAAAAAATATAAAAATTAAAAAAAAAAATTAATTAAAAAAAAAAAGAAAAAATAAAGAAAAAAATCTAAAAAAGAAATAATCTATTTTTTTATTATACTAATTTTATTAATATTTCATTTATTTAGATCATCTATATATTAATAACAAATTGGTTTTTATCTATCAATAAAATTTGTTGAAATTGGCTTTTATTGTTTTTATCTCTATAAAATTTCTTTTTAAAAAAAAAAATTAAAAAAAATGATCCAAATGAATTTTGGTCACAATCTAAAATAAAATATAAGAAATTATGTTTATTTAAATGGAATTTAATAGTTATTAAAATATAAAAAATTTTTTTAAAAGGTGAATGAGAATTTAATCAAGAGATTCTGATAGACCTAAATCTAATAGATTTTTATTGATTTCTACAATATCTTTTTTGGCTTGTTCTAATCTGTTCTTTGTTTCATAAGAAACCTCTATTAAATCTTGAAGGTTAAACATTCTTTTAAAAGGAGATGGAACATTAAAAGAATTGGTGCAATTATTTTTGTAGTGTCCATGAATACATTCTTTACAATAAATTTCATAGTTAAAACTTGCATCATTATATGGTAAAATCAAAGGATCATTTACCATTTGATGACAAATATTACAAAATATTTTATTGAAATCTAATTGTTTATCCTTTAAATTTGTTAGGTTTTGGATAAGTTTTGTAGAAATTTCTTTATTTTCTCCCAAATTTGCAATTTTAACCATTGTACCAATGATTTTTTCTAATTCTTCTAATTGTTGAATGGCCTCTTTAGTTTCTTTATAACTTATTTTTGAAGTTAAAATTACACCTGTAACACCTCCTAATATAGAACCCACACCAATGGAAAGTGCAGCAACTCCAGCCGCAATACCGACTATTGACATACCACAGGTAATAGGAGAAAGGACAACTCCCACTACTAATAGAGTCGTGCCAGCTAAAATGGCACCACCAGACACCAAAGCTTTACAAATTTTTTCAATTCTATCCATTTTTTTTTTTTTTAAAAAATAATCCTTCCCATTTTTTTCCCGCACATGAACAATTTTGCTAGAATTAGTTCCAAATAATTCTTCTGAAATTATTTTGATTTTTGTTAATTCCCCAATCACCATACCACATTTTCTAAGATCATCAAAATCATTTTTTTCATACTTAAACTTTAAAACTTCTCCATCAATTTTATGTTTTTCCATAATTTTAATATGTTTTGGATCTATTTTTTTAGATTTAAAAAAATTTGAAACTTTTGTTACATCCCAGTTAATAGGTGGGTCTTCTATTTTTGTACCTTCTTTAATGCTTTTTAAACCTTCTACTGCTCCATTTTGTAGATCTTGATGTTTTTCTTTTATTTCCTGGATGAAATCTAAAATATCTTGATTAGTTTTGGGTTGATATTTTTCATCAGAGCATCTATCATTTAAATTAATTAGAGATTTTACGAATTCTATATAGAATTTATCTAAACTTTCAAAAGTAGTTATGTGACCTTTTAATGAATTCTTTAAGTTTTGAAATATCATATTTCTTGAATACTCTCGCTCTAATAAATTAGATAGGTATTTTCCATAGTCCTAATGAAGAAATAATTAATATTTAATATTTATAAAATAAATTGATAAAAAATAATAAAAATATTTACCTTTTCTAAAATATTTTCTACTTTAATAGTTTTCAAATTGGATGATATATTCTGTATATATTCATAACTATAAACCTTATCACTATCTATTTCTATAGAATATTTATCAATCTTATCAGTATTGACACTTTCTACTTTATTTAAATTTTTATCCATATTTTTTACTTATAATAATTAATATATATAAATTAATATTATTATTGTAATATAAATAAAAAATTATAATAATAAATTTTTTAAAAATAATAATTATTACAAAATTAATAAATTAATACAATAATAATTTGAAAATAAAATGGTTTTTTATATTTTATTTTCAATATTTATAGTATTTCTTTTTTTTAAAATTATGATAATATTTTTAAATTAAGTTACTTAATTTTAATAACTTAAATTTTAATAACTTAAAAAAAATAAGTTGGTTAAAAATAGTTTATTGTAAGATCTAATAAAAAACATCAAAATATTTTGTTGATTAAGTTTTCTTATAAAACAAAAAAAAAAAAGTTAATTTTTAGTGGGTGAACACCACACTTGCAAAAAAGAAAATTAAAAAAAATAAAAAAAATAAAAAAAATTTAAAATAAATATTGCTCGAAATAATATAATCTCAATTTAAAGAGATTGATTGTTCCCTCCAAAATAATTTTTTATTTAATTTATATTATAATTTTTTTTTTTTTAAAGACTTTAAAGTAGGGAAAAAAATTTAGTTTATTTTTAGAAAAAAAGGGGTTTGGAAATTGACTTTAATTTCAAAGTTTTAGTTTTTTTTTTATTTTTTATAGTTTAAAAAAAAAAAAAATATTTTATAATTTAAAAGGTGTTTAAAAATCAATAAAATAACAGTTAAATCATAACCAATTAATATATTATGTAATGTGTAGTTGTTTCCCCCTTTTTTATTTTTTTTAATTTTTTTCAAAATTTTTTTATTTATTTTTTATTAATAATAAATATTATGTTATATTAATATACAAAAATATTGTTATGCCAATTTTTAAATTTAAAAACAGCAGTTATGTAAATAAGCGCAATATTTAAATTTAAAATAAATTCCACATTTATTTATTTATCAAAATCAAAATTTATTAATACATATAAAAATATAATAAATAATTACATTAATAAATTAAAAATTATAAATAACATATAAATTAGAAATATACAATTGATAATAAATTATTATGTTGTGTCTTCATTTTCCATCTATTTTTTTATTATACTTATTTTATTAGTAGTTCATTTATATTGATCATCTATATATCATTAACAAATTGGTTTTTATCAATCAATAAAAGTTGTTCAATTTATTGTTTTTATTGCGATAAAAATTTCTTTTTAAAAAAAAAATTAAAAAACATATCCAAAGAATTTTGGTCGCAATCTAAAATTAAATATAAGAAATTATTTTTATTTAAATGGAATTAAATAGTTACTAAAATATAAAAATGGATTTAAATGGAATTATATAGTTACTAAAATATATAATTTTTTTATATATTTATATATATATATAAAAGAAACAACAATTATATTGGAGATAAAAAAGAACTATATAGTTCAATCCTAAGAAATGTTATTTCAGTTGCTTATTTTTAAATAAGTATTTATATTAAAAAAAATAAATATATTTATAAATTTTCAATTTTTTTTTAAAAATATTTTATTTTTTTACAAATTATTATCCTTTTTTTATCCTTTTTTTATTTTTCATTATCTATTTTTATCTTTTTAAAAAAGAAAATTAGTTTTTGGATAAAATCTTCCCAGTAATCCAAAAACGATAAACGATAACGATAATTTTTAACCTCTATTTTTATGATTTATAGTGGTTTTACAAGTCTTTTGATTAAGAGCCGAATCTATCTTCTTAAAAAAGCTTTCAAATTTTTCCAATACCTTGATAAGATTATTAACTTGCTCTTTTTTTAAAACGGTGCAAATAATTGTGGTAATAGGTAAACAATCACAGATTATCATGATAACACCTATCAAGATACATATTGCAGATGACCCAAAAGAAAATGATGAAAGGAGTATCCCAGTTATAAGTAAAGCACAACCCATTGAAAAAGGTGTTCTTAGTACTCCTGATAATTCTATTACCCAATTAATATCCTTTTTTATTTTTTTTAGTGAATTTAAAAAATTATCTGGTTGTGATTTGATTTTTTCATCAATTAATTTTGAAAATTTTTCACAATCTTTTTCAATTTTTTTAATTTTTTCAATTTTTTCAATTTTTTCTAGATGACCATTTAATTTGATGAAATTAAGAATCAATGTTTCATATTGTGTTTTTACACTTTCAATATTTTCCAAATGTTTTATTTTTTGCATTTTTTCAAATTGAAGTTCTAACATTTTTGATAAATTACCCTGTTAATATTATTCAAATATATTAATATTTATGATATATAATGAATTTTAAGTTAAATTAATAATAATAATAATAAAATACCTCTAATTTTTCTGATAAATTTGATATATAATCACGTTTGTAAAAATCTTTTATTTGATATCCCGCTGTCATAGTTTTATAAATCTAAATATTATTATTAATAGTGTATATAATTATTTTAAATATAAATTTATTTGTTTAAAAAAAAAAAATTTTGATAAAATAAAGTAATTTAATTTTTAATTTAATTTTTAATCACTTGATTTTAAAACCACTTAATTTAATTTTAAAATCACTTAATTTTAAAACCACTTAATTTTAAAACCACTTAATTTTAAAACCACTTAATTTTAAAACCATTTAATTTTAAAACCACTTAATTATTTATAACCTAAGTAGTAATTTAATTAATAATATTTTTTTTTTTTTTTTTTTTTTTTTAAAAAAATAAATAATGGATAAATAAATATTTTAAATATAAAATTTAATTTATTAATTTATTTAAAAAAAAAAAAAAAATGCACATCTATTTATTTAAAAAATAATTAGGTGGTTGCCATTGTACCAAAAAAAAAAGAAATAGGTGGTTGTTTTGTCAAATTATAATTTTTTTCAATTAAGTATGTAAAAACTATTTTTTAAAATAATATTTTTATTTTATTTTTATAAAAAATAATATTATTTAATTTTTATTTTTTTTTATTTTTTTATTTTTTTATTTTTTTTTTATTTTTATTTTTTTTATTTTTTGTAAATAATATACATTATTTATTTTATATTACCGAATAATAATAAAGGAAAAAAAATGAAGATAATTAATTTAACAATATTATTTATTTTAGTTTTATTTTTTTTAAATATTTTACAAGTCACTAGTAGACATCACCATGGTGAGTGGAGACATAATGGTAAAAGACCATTAACCGAATACCCAAGACCATATACACATAATAGCGAGGATAGTCAAAATTACCACCATGGCGAAGGCAGAAAAAACCACCACAGTGATGGCAGAAGAAGCCACCGTGGTTGTAAAGGTGGTCATAGACACAAGAACGAAGATAGTCAAAATTACCAACATGGTGAAGACAGACAAAACCATGGTTGTGACAGTAGTCGTGATCATAGTAGTCATCACCCAACACCAGATAGCAACAAAAATAAATTTTGGAATGGTGACTCCGACAGTAACAGCAACAGCAACAGTCATAATATAATTATCAACAACAATAATTATCCAGTTCCAAGCTATTCTTCCAATGATACTGTCCCAACAGACAATGGCTGGTCATCAAGCTTTAGTACTGAGTATATCCATGTTTTTTCCAAACGTTCTTTGGTTTCATTTATTATCGCTTTCTCTTTAACAAGTCTTGTTTTTATTATTACAACTTTCTGTAGTTGTAGCTGTGGTTGCAGAGGAAGAAGATCCCAATATACTCCAGTTGTTCAATTATAAAATTATTGTAACTAATAATTTTTAAACCAATGTACATAATAAATGAAATAATAAACAATAAAAATAAGTAATAAATAATAAATTTAAATTTTATTTTATGTTTATTAAAAAAAAAAAAAAGGAAAAAGGTTGGTTTTTATTTTATTTTATTTTTTTTTGTTTTTTCATAAAATTTTTTTTTTTTTAAAAGTGTCCAATCATTATTCTTACCTCTTTTATAAAATATTTAATACCCAATATTATTTTATTTTTAAATAAATAGTATTTGGAAAATTCTATATAAATTATTCAAATAAATAAATTTAAAAAAAATAGATTTTTTTCGAATTTTTTCAAAATTTTTTTTTTTCTAAATATTTTGATAAATAAACAACAACAAAAGATAAATATAATTTTAATCACAATGAAAATAACAAGTTATTAATAAATTTTTAATTGATATATAAAAAATAAATGTAAAATGAAATTAAAAAATTTTATTTTTATTATTTTTTTTATAGTTTTTGTTTGTGGCAGTAATAGTAATAATAATAGTAGTATCAAAAGTGATATCATCGAAATAGTTTATTTCTTTGATATAAACGGAAATGATAACAATAATAATGGAACAATAGACAATCCATTTTTCAGTATTTGTAAATTAACAGATATTATAAATTCACTTAATAATAATTCAAATAATCAACACTATCTAATTAAATCATATATTAATAATGGACAATATAACCTTAATAATTGCTTATTAGGATTAAGAAATACCGATAGTAATAATAATAATAGTAATAATAAATATAATTTTATATTATCTAGATATAACGACACAAATAAAAATAATAACAGCAACAGCAACAATGATAATGATAAGTTTGTAGTGCTTATAAATATAGATTTTTCAATATATAATATAAATTTAAATATAAATAATATTAGAATAGTAAATCTTAATAAATCAAATGAAATTAATATTTTTAATAGTGTAGTGGAAATAGATAACAATAGTATATTGGACTATAGTATTAGCAGTAATATAATAACGAATATAGTAGAGTCAAGTGTATATATTGAGAACTCTAGCAAATTTAAATTTGCTTTCAAAAATTATATTCAATTATATAGCAGTCTAATCCAGTTGAATGTGAACAGTAGTTTAGTTGGTGCAAATATCAATAATACTGATATAGATACTTTTAGCTATGTCAATGTGTATAACTCGAGCTTATTGAAATCAGTTCAATTGGGGTCATATATTTCATTGGAGGTTATAGATTCAAATACAATCGATTCACTATTTTCATTTTTTAATTTTGGCATTATTAATTTTCAATGGTCTTATATAACGTACACTTATGGCCCAGATCCAATAATCTTTAGAATATTTGGTAATTCAAGTGCAACATTCAACAATTGTTTTATCAAAGGAGTTGCTTCAAGGTTTTTCAGCAGTTTTGCTCATGTTGGAGAATCAGCAAGTTTAGAGATTACCAATTCTGCTATATCAAATTATTTAACAACTGAAACTTTTATTAGGTGTTGGAGCTGCAAATTAACTTTTAATAGTAATTTCCTTTCTGCAGTTTCATCGCCACAGTTTATAGAAATAGGGTCAGGTACATTATATCTAAGCCATTTGGATATGAATGACTGCAGTTTTTCATTGGTAAATATAAAAGCACCATCAAATGTTTTCTTTACCAATTCAATTGCAGAATGCGCCAATAATAATAAAGTTCCGTATCTAATAAGAATGAGCGATATGGATAACGGCTATGTTTTATTTCAAAAAAGCTATATATTTTGTCAAAACTTAACATTAAATTGCCTGGGTCAGTTTGTTCTAAAAGATGCCGAGTTCCACTTTGACAACATTCAAATGAAGCAGTTAATGATACCCAAAGTTTTTACGTTGACTTTAAATTCAACTGGTACTTTCAATAGGTTTAATGTGTTTGCTTACTTTAATTTCTATAATCCATTAAACCAGGAATTCTTTGTAGTGGCCGAAGAGGGCTCCCAATTGTATTTTGGTAATAGTAATTTCTCTTTTTTATCATCTATAGCAAGTTCAGATGATAGATCCAGTATATCAATAGACCAATCAATAATTACCAATTCATTTTCAAATTCAATATTCTTTCAAATTAATAATTCAACCTTTCACATTAGTAATACCATATTCTCAAAATTATTTTCAACAGATTCTGCATTCATGATTATAAATTCATCGGATGTAACCATTAATAATACCACTATGGAAAGACTATCATTTTATCAAAATGGTATTGTGGAATCAGTAAATTCAAATATCGAAATCAATGGCCTTAATATGACCTCATGCTCATCACAGTATTATTCATTCAAATTTACCGAGTGTAATGTAACCATCAATAACAGTATTTTTTCAAAGAATTCAGGTGACCAAAAATCAGAAAACAACAATAGTAACTCTAATGGTTACCAATCAATAGTTTACATGTTACTATTTTTAGATAATTCAACAATGTATATTAATCAAGTAGAATTTAATAGCAATATTTTCAGACCAATCATCACAAACCATCAAACATTTCTTTCAATGAAAACTATATATCTAAATAAAAATACTGGGGGTTTTTTAATGTCCATCGACTCAAATATTGAAATTGATAACCTGCACTACGAATATAATAAAAATCCAATAGACTACTTAGTATCACTAATTTCATCATCTGCTTCAATTTCAAATGTTTATATCTTAAAAAATTATTTTGCCCTCTACTTTTTCTCTGCGTTAAACTCGTATGCAAACTTTACAAATTTCAATTTTAGTAATAACACCATCATCAATATCATGCAATCTTTAAACGATAACGAGTACTACAATTCAGCTTTTTTTGAAATATCCGCTTCATCTTCAATCTCATTCACAGATTCAATTTTTAGTTATAATGAAATTAAGCTAACCAACTTTTTCCAAGTAGAAAAATCGTCATCGATTTTCTTCTTTAGTACAGTCGTTAACAACAATCAACTCAACTCTATTACGCTTTTCTTTGTTAGTTCAAATGTTACTGAGTTAATGGTGTTTGTAGATTCAATTTTTTCTAATAATACAGGTGAGGGCAATGGTTTATTATATGGAGATGGTATTAATTATTTAATTGTCAACAACTCCACATTCAGCAATAACTACATTCCATCAGGTTCATTGATAGTATATAAAGTAGATCAACCTTTAGTCGGCTACTTTAAAGTCGAAAACTCAACATTTTCAAATAATTTTGGAGATGGTGGTTCCATATTCGATGTTGATGGTTATCAATATTTTGACAGTGCTTTTGTATCGAATCAATCTTCATTTTCAAATAATTTAATAACAAAAAACACAGCTTCCATTGGCCTCATTGGTACTACAAATTTCCCTTTCGATACAAATCTCTCTTTAATATACCAGCAAAATAATTTTACTGATAATTTTATTCCAGAAGATTCAATCTTTTATTCAAGTAAGTTATAAAATATAATAAAAATAAATATCTTTAGATATCTTTATAATATTCATTAAACTAATTGTTTTTTTTTTAATTAATAGATATTCAAGCAATAAAATTCTCTGGGGCACAATCAAACTATTCAAATGGAGGGCAATTGGAATATGAAGTTACTTTTGCATCAGTATCAGAGTTTGATTATTATTTTATTGATTATTATAATAAAATATTCCCATTCTTTATAGACAAGGTTGAATTTGTAATTACATATAACCAGACATATCCAAATGGTTCAATTGTTTTAGTAACAAATATAATTGAGTCAAATGTAAATTCAGGTCGTGGTTATTTTGTATTTTTGTTTCAAGGTTTGGTTGGTGATACATTTTTAGTTACTGCTCCATACTATAATTCTAATGGTGGTTCTCTTTTGGTTAGAGTAGTTGATTGCCCAAGATATCAATATCAATCTATTAATTCATGCAAATATTGTCCACAAGGTTCTAGCTATAGCAATAGTCAAGAAAAATGTTTATCATGTCCCCTCAACTATTTATCATGTATCGAGTCTTATGTGTACGCATTCAATAACTTTTACATTATCGATAACGATATCGCATTTACTCAAGAATGTGCCTATGGGATGTGTAGCTCTAATAATATATGCAACTATCCTTTCTCTGGAGGAAATCTATGTAACTATTGCTCTGAAAATAAACAGATTGATATTATACCCGCCAAAAATGGTATTCATTGTTGCTCAACTTACAGACCTTCACTTTTAGTTTTAATTATAATCTTGTTTACAGTGTATGGCTTGGTACTTTCAATTGCCAAATATCTCAATTTCTCTGGTTGGCTTTGTAATAGTATCACATTTCTTCAGATTAATTCAGTCGCTTTCTTTTCTTACCCTGGTTTATATGTTTTACCCTTTTTCAAAGTCTCATGGGATTTGTTTGATGGTGTATGTCTATTTAAAAATTCAAGTGCTCTTCATAAAATTGGATTTTCCTTTGCAGCCATCATCTATCTAGTGGTAATTGGTTATAGTGACATAACATTAAAACTAATAATCAAGTTCTACGGTCCAATAAAAAACTTTTTCAAAAGAAATCATAATAAAAACTTCAACTATAGCGCCCCTCCAAAGTTTATAAGCAATATTGCTCCCTACAGAAATGATAAAATGTTCAAGATGGCATCACAGTGGAGATTGTTCTTGTTACTGCTAATACCACTATTTTTCAACTCTTTAGCCATTTTAACACCAAAAGAGATTCAAGGGTACTTTGGTTTATATAAATATTTAGCAATAGATTTTACAATTGCATATTTTGATAAGCCAAGTCACCTCTTTCTCTCTTTCTTTGGCTTCTTTTTTATAGCAATAATAATACTGGTACCATTGTTCATGGTCATAGGACTACTCAAAAATTTTAACAGTAAAAGACCCATTATCTATAGCAGAAAAATCGAAGCCAAAAACATCAAGTCATCAATAAACAGAGATTTTGAAATCCTTTATTTAATTTTAAAGAAACTATCAAACTATAGACCAAAATTCATTGGGTGGGATTTAATTATAGCATCAAAATTTTCATTGTTAACAGTACTATCAATAACACTATTATTCAAAAGTAAAGTTTATTTGGTCTCAATCCTTGTAATTCAATTAGTATATATAATCAGCTATTTAGTATTCAAGCCCTCCAATAGAAATATATTACACCAGACTAATGTTCTTTTGAACCTATTCCAATTGATCCTATTCATAGTTTCAAACTCTACAATATTTTTAAAAACAAATCCATATTACCAAGGCTATATAATAACACTATTAGTCTTTACATCACTATTTGTTTATTTATTTTTTTATTATTATTTAACTAAAAATAGAAATACTTTTAAAAAACACTAATTTTAATCGAATAAATTAAACTAAAAATAATAATTTTTTTTTTTTTCTAATCAATATTATTATTTCTTTTTTTAATTTTTATTTTTTTAATTTTATTTTTTTTTTTTGATTATTTTTTGGTTTTTTTTTTTTGGTTTTTTTTGATTAGAATTCATTTTTAAATTAAATAAAATGGGCGAACCAAACAATACATGTAATAAATTTAAAATTGGTGAAAGAATTCAAAGTGATGATGGATATATTGGAACTATTAGATATGAAGGAAGCGTAGATGGATTTGATGGTAATTGGTATGGCATAGAGTGGGACGATCCTAAAAGAGGGAAACATTTCGGTACAGTCAAAGGTAAACAATATTTTCAATGTCAATATAATGGTAGTGGTTCATTTATGAAACCAGAGAAATTAGTAAAGGGTAAACATTTTTTAGAAATGTTATTCAATAAATATCATCACAAAATTGAAAACTATGGTATGTATAATATATATATTAATATTAATAAATAAATTGTAATAAATATTAATATATTTATTTAAAATAGATGATTTATATGTAGAAACTACAAAACCAGAAGTTAAAATTCCAATTGAAATGATTGGTATGAATGAGACTAGGGAAAGACAAAAAGATTTTAAACAACAAAAAATAATTTCAGCAAGCCATTTATTAATTTCAGAAATCGATGAATACCCAGCAATTTTTAATTATTTTAAAAGTATGTATATTATAGTGTAATGTGATGTGGATCATAACAAATACTAACATCGTTATCAATTGTAAAGATTTACAACATTTGAATTTAGCAAATACATTAATTTATGATTGGAATCAAGTTATTCAGCTAATTATTCAATTACCAAATTTAGAAAAATTAGTTTTAAGTGATAATAAATTGATATTTGATGGAACAAATTTTATAAATAAAATAGCGGAAATCAAAAAGAGTAATGACAACAATATAGAATTACCATCGAAAACCAAATCATTAGTATTAAATAATTTATTTATATCGGATTTCGCTTTTTTATTACCAATTTGTAAAGAAATATTTTCAAATTTAGAAACATTAGTAGTATCAAATAATTCAATTGAAAATATATCTAATAGTAGCTTGGATGTATTCTCAAAACTTGTATCTTTGGATTTGGCTCATAATAAAATTAAATCATTTAATGATATAACAGCAATAGGATTTTTGGAACACCTACAAGAACTAAATTTAAACAACAATCAAATCGATTCTATTGAATTTAGCGATATCAATAAAAATCAAGACGATAGCACTACAACCACAAAACTATTCAAGAATTTGAAAATATTGTATTTATCAAATAATAATATTAGTGATTGGAGACATGTCGAAGAATTAGACTATTTACAAAATTTAGAAGAATTATCATTTAGAGAAAATCCGATTATTGACTCTCTTTTATTAGATGCTGCAGCTATCAAAGATCAAAATCAACAGGATGAAACAAACAATACCAAAACAGTGACCACCTCAACAGGAGTAAAAAAGATATCGGTCAATAAAAACATTTATTTAAACAGATTAAATATAATACCCAGAATTTCAAAATTAACAAAACTAAATCTATCACATGTATGTATTGTTCATATAACTGTTTGATGGTCCAAAAAATGATTATTATAATTTCCGATTACTAAAAATTAATTTTTTTTTTTTTTAAAAATTTTATTTAGATTACCCCAATTGAAAGAAAAGATGCTGAACTTTACTTTCTTTATGAAAATTATTCATTAAAAAACAGCAATACCAATCAATCAAACTCAAGGAAATTAAACTACTTGGTCTCCATACACGGGGAACCTCTATACACAAAAGAAGATACCAACATTACAAATAATGAAGTTTCTCAATAATAATGATAAGTTTTTTTTTTTTTGTGGGATGGAGTGTGGTGTGGTGTGGTGGAGTGTGATAAAAAATAAATAAATTAACCTCTATATAACAAAGTTATAACTTTATCCATATAAAATATTATTATTTTTTTTTTTTTTTTTTTTTTTTTTTAATTTTTTTAAATTTTCATTTTTTTTTTTTATTTTAATTTTTTTTTTTTATTTTAATATATTTTTTTTTAAAATTTTTTCTTCATTATTTTTGTTGTATTAAACAAGAATATATAAGATTTTTTTTTTTTTATTTATTAATATATTTAATTTGTATCAAAATATAATAAACTACAGTATTTATTATATAGAAGATTATGGATAACTTATTTGGGGACGAAATTGAAGTGCCAACATTACTTTCGATATGTACACAAAGAATTAAGGATTCATTAGATAGTAGGTTATCATTTGAGCAACATAGATGTTTAGAAAAGAAAAAAAAAAAAAAAAAAAAAAAAAAAAAAAATTTCGGAAATTAACCACATAGTTTTTTTTTATATACTATTTATTTAGATATAAAAGGTTTAGGAAGAATACCAGATAAACTTTTGATTGTAATTCTTGATAAATGCCCACCTCAACAGCTTATTGCCATTGAAAATAAAATAGTATGGTGTCGATAATTAATCTATTGGATATATTAAGCTCGCCTAATAATATTAATATTTATTTATTTATTTATTAATATTATTAATTTATAGGGTAGAAATGTTGACACAGAAGAGTTATGGAAAAGACACTGTTTCAATTTATCACCAAACCAAAGCGTATCCCCAGAGGATAATGATGTCGAAACTTGGAGAGAATTATATGTTGTCCTCGAAAGAAACTATTTAGATAAAGCAAGAAAAACTGGTGATAAATTAAGAAACACCTATAACAATGCTGCAAAGAATAGACAATCTAAACAAATTAAAGTGTTGAGTGAAGCCGAAACACCGGTTAGAGCAAGACCAACCTATGTCGCTAAGACTGCAACATATAAACAAAGTAGTGTTTCAAGCTCCAATAAATATAGCAATGGTACATTTGTAAATAGAGGTGAACGTACCGGTAGTAGTGGTAGCAGTGGCGGCGGTGGTGGTGGTGGTGGTTTTGGTAATGTTTTTAAATCATCACCCGCTTCAAATCAACCAAAACTAATGGCAAAAGTTATGAAAGAATTCAAAAAGAAAAAATAATATTGACTCATTAAATTATAATTTAAGTAATATAATATAATATAATAATACCAATCTTCATGAACAGTTGATCAAAAAAAAAAAAAAAAAAAAATATTTTTAAAAATCTAATAATTTAATAATTTAATATTTAATAATTAATAATGTAAATAAAAAATTCAATAAAAGAATGATATTTTTAAATCATCAATCTATTTTAAACTATATGTTTTTTTTTTTTTAAAATTTTATTTTTTCTTTTTTTTTTTTTTTAATTTAATTTTAAATTATTTTTTTCTTTTTTTATTTTTTGTTTTTTATTTTTTTGATATATTATCTAGAATAACAGTATATTATAATCCAGAAAAACAATAATGAATATAATAGGATCAATAGTTTTATCAGTACTTATAATAATTATCATTAAACTATTATTTAATAAAATTTTTAAAAACAACAATGAAACCCAAGAAAACCAAACAATTGTAGATAATAATAATAATAATAATATAAATGAGATTGTAAATAATAATAATAATGACAATAACAATAATAATAACAATAATAGACCAGGTAGAGGTTTAGGCAGAATGAATATTAGAAATAGGAGACAACAAATTGAAGAACCTGAATCATCTGATTCAAGTGATTTATCAAATTCTGAAGATGAGGAAGATGAAGAAGATGATATTCATAATGAAGCCAATTTAAATTTAGCAAATTCACAGATCTCAAAGTTAAAAGCAGGTAAAAAGGTTGGAACTAAAAAATTAGAGAAATTAAGAAGAAAAGAGGAAAAAAAGAGAGCCAGAGAGTACCAAGAACATACGAGAGAAGAGAAAAAGAAAAATGAGGAAGAAAGAGATGCTCGTGCTCAAAAGAAAAAAGAAGAACAAAAAGAAATTGAAAGATTAAAAAAAGAAGAGGAAGAAAAATTAAGATTGGAGCAAGAAAAGAAAGAAGATGAAGAATACAACTTACATAAAATTGATATTACATTAGACGAAACAGGTGAGGATAACCAAGATGGCAATAACGACCAGTCCTTACTACAAAAATTTATCGATTATTTAAAAGACCACAAAATCTGTTTATTAGAGGATGTAGCTATGGAATTTAATTTAAAAACCTCGGTATGTATATTAAATGAAATACAATAAATATATAATGTATATCTAACCATATTTTTATTTACCATAGGATGTAGTTGAACGTATAAAGACATTGGATAAAGAGGGTTTAATTTCGGGTGTTATTGACGACAGAGGCAAATTCATTTATATTACAAGAGATGAAATGGAATCTGCTGCTAAATTTATAAACAGAAAAGGCAGGATTACAATTGACTCACTTACATCATTCCTTTCTGAAATCATTGACTCCACAACTGAAACTCCAAAAAATGAAACAACAAATACAACTACTACAACTGCATAGGAATGAAAATAAAATTAAATAAACTTTTAAAGTTATTATACTGTTTGTTTGTTTGTTTGTTTTATATTTAAACGTTAAATATATATAATGTATTTTATTTATTTATTTTATTATTTTTAAGCTTTTTTGTGGGGGTATTGGAATTTTTGAAGATTGATGATTTCATTTTGGCCATTTGAGGTTAAAGTGTAGACATAGAGACATCCAAATAAATAGATACAATTTAAACCGGTAATCCAAAGGGTGGTTAAAATATTACCAGTTACAAACAATACAATAATAGAAACGAAACCAGAGAAACCAATGCATGCCATCATAATCCATTTTCTAATGAAACCTTTGACAAACTCTGGATACATTGCAATACCACCTGCTACATATGCTGATGATGAAATCCATTCCATCCATGCCATTATAAATGTTGATACACCTGATAATCTTAAACTGTTATGTGCTGCATGTTCGAATGGTAATACATTAAATGGCATAATTGCGCATAATAATTTTAAAAATCCACAAAAAAATCCTATATAACTCATGCATTTCTAAAATAATATAAAGTTGCCAACTGATTAGTACAATACATATATATATAAAGTTATCCTTTTATTTTATTAATATCATACTCTATAAAACAATGCAGATTGTTTATCTTTTGATAATAAACCGCTTATAAGATCATTTTGTTCTATTATAGTTAAGAGATACGCATTAATATAGTTTTTTAAAAATTAATATTATCTGAAATCTACTAAAAAGTAAATATAGCCATATAATTACCTTGTTCATCTAAAAAATCGCTGTCTTGAGCTCTTTGTTGTCTTCTCATTTTAAATTAATTATTTTTTTTTAAATTATATATGTGTGTTTGTGTTTATGTTTTGATTATTTATAAATTTAATTTTGGTTACTAATCTCCAAATACAAAGGTTTTATTTATTTGTGTATTTTATTATAAAAAAACCTCCAATTTAATATAAATGAGTAAATTTATTTTGTTTTTTTTATTATTTTTTTGAAAAATTAAAAAAATAATTTTTTTTTTTTCAATTAAAAATTTATTTTTTTATTTTTTTTTTTTCATTTTTTTATTTTTTTTTTTTAAATTTTTGAATTTGTTTTTATATTTTTAATATTAAAAATTTAACGACTACATTGGTCCATAGATTATAAAACAGCACTACCATCACGCTTTTCTCATCCACATATATAACTTTACAGTAGTAGCTGTTTTAAAAACTTTAGTTTTGTTAAAAAATCAAAATAATACATAACAAAATAATTTTATTTTAATAATTTTATTCATAAATTTATAATTGATTTAAAAATTAAAATATTTTTTTTTTTTTTTTTTTTTTTTTTTTTGTTTTTTAGTAATAACACATCTTTCATAATGTTTATTAAACAATAAATATAGCTTATAATAAACAATAATAGAAACTACCAATAAAAAATAAATAAAATTTAAATATCAATATTTAAATTATAATAATAAAATGGCATCAATAGAAGAAAAAGAATTTCTTTTGGAAGAGATTTCAAGAGAGAAAGAACTGCATCAAAAAACAATTGTTTGTTTTGAAAATGAAAGAGAAAAAAATTCAAAATTAATTTCAAGTGTTAAAGAGATGATGATGGAAAAAGATAATCAAAAGTCATATTTAGAAGAAGTCCAAAAGAATATAATCCAGGCTCAAATGAAACTTGTTGATGAAAGAAAGAAAACATCGATCCTATCGGCCCAGGTCTCACTTTTAGAGGACGAACGTACTAAACTAATTGAACAACAAGAATCAAGTTCATTTAAATTGAGAGATACTCAAATTAAGCTTAAAGAAAATCAAGAGGTTATAGATTTATTAAAGCAAACTTATAGCGCTACAGCATCATCAACAAATGAAATGACTGAAGAAGAAGTTCAAGACGAGCACTCTCTAAATCAGCTTATAGAATCAATTAAGAATGATCAAAATAGTATAGATTTAAAAAAGAATAATGCAATGTTAATGAAAATTCTATCATTACAAGAAGAGATAAAGAACCAGTTTATTCAAATTGACCAACTGCACTCTAACGAATCTAATCTTATAAATGAAAATCAAGAATTAAAAGATAAAATCCAATCATTTGAAATTCAAATTGTTGATCAAAATGATACAATTAGAAAGCTACAAGATACCGTTAGTAATACTAGTACAAGTAATAATACTCAGCCACAACAAGTAGAATTTGACATGGATGAGCAATCTAAAAAGCTGATTAAAGATTTACAAGATAAATGTGACCATTTAAAATTAGAACTGAATAAAGAGAAATTTAATTTAGATATTGCAAATGAAACTATTGAAGATTTAGAGATGAAATTATCATCATTCAAAAACAATACTTTAACCAATAGTAGCACTACACCTATCACCTCCTCCTCATCACCAATAATCAATAATACAACTAATTCAACTGTTAGCATCATATCATCAATTGAATACCAAGCATTACTTGAAGAAAAGAATAAGCTTTTAGATAAAATTAATAATTTAGAGAATGATTTATCAAGTCTTCATGAAAAACAACTTAAACTTGATCAAGTATGTATACATATATAAAATTAATTTTTAATACAGCTATCAATTTAAACCATATCAATAATAGTAAACTAATTATTTTTTTTCCTTTTAGGAACACTTTAATTCAATTATGAATATAGATCAAAGTAAAAACTCATTATTGGAGCAAATCAAAGAGGCAAAAGAAAGTTCAGTTGAATTTGAAACAAAGAGCAAGAGATTAGAGAAACAATTGGCGATCACCAGAAAGACTATGGAAGAAGAGGTAAATAAGAACCAGGATAGAATTCACTTATTAGAAAAAGAAATTAAAGAACTAAAGGCATCTGGTAGTAATAAAGTTGTTGAAATTGGCGATGGCAGTAATGATGTAAATCACAGTAACGAAATTCTTAAAAATGATGAATTCTTAAAATTAGAAATTGAATTTAATAAACAAATTTCACAACTTAGAGAGTTAGAAAGTGTATGTATACCCATCATATGACACGTTTCTTTTCGTTGAATACTTATTAATATTTTTTTTTTATTTTTAAAAAATTTAGCACTTAGAGAATGAAAAAAGTTATACAAAAGAATTAGTTGAAAAACTGGATAACCTTAAAAAAAAAAAATCACATTATAAAGAAAAATTGAATCAATTAATTATAGATCATGATCAACTTTCAACCCAATATCAAGAAATCAATAATAAACAACAAGTATTGTTGAATGAAAAAGAAGAGCTATTGAAGAAGAATCAAGATTATGAAAATCAAAACCAAGAACTATCAAAATCATATCAAAATACATTAGACATTGAAAAACAACTAAAAGAATCAAACAAGGAGCACTTACAAGAGATTGATAGTTTACAAAGTGAATACCAAGAATTAAAGAATCATCATGATGAATTAACAAAGAGCTTTAGTGACTTAAATGATGATTATCAAGTATTAACAAATAATAATAACGAACTTACTGAACAAAACCAAACTATAAGAAACAGCTATGAAGAGGTCGTCACCGAGTATAATGAATTAAAAGAGAACTACGAAAAACTAGAATCAAACGAAGACCAAATAAAGATACTGAAACAACAATTAGAAGAAACTGATCAATTTAAAGAAGAAAATAAACAAATTATAGAACAATACCAAAGCCAAATTAAGGAATTAGAAGCCAATGCTGAACAATATAAACAAGCATTTGAAAAATCTGATGAAGTTATGAACATACATAACAATTTGAATTCACAATATAATGAAACTATAAAAGAGTTGGAAAAGAAACAAGAAACCATCAATCAACTATTAGAAAGTAATAGACAACTAAAGAACCAACTAGAGTCTACTCATGAAAAACAACAACCACAAGACAACATTAAAGAGAATACAGATAAACTCAAGCTAGAATTAGAGAAAGCAAACCAAGAATTAGAATTGTTAAATGAAGAACTAAATGCATCCAGTCAACTGTTAGAGTTCTCAAAAGAAGAAAAAGAATTATTGGCTAGAGAAATCGATGATTTAGAAGATCAACTTAAAGAATATAAATCTGTAAATGAACATCAAATGAAACATATGGATGAATTACAACAACAAATTGATTACCAAACTCAACAAATTGTTCAGCTACAACAATTGAATCAACAAAACCAACACCAAATCCAACACTACAATTACTCCACCATCCACCCCAACAAAAAGAAAGACCCATCACAGAGAGAACTCATCTTCATCATCTTTAGACATGATTATTCAAAATATTAATGAAAATGGTTTATCATTAAATAGTGATGGTACTGTAAAATCTTCAACTACTACAACAAATGATTCAAATGCTACACAGTCACCAACCAATAATAATACCTCTGCATCAACATCACCAATCATCCAACCACAAAACAACATATATTCTAGCCCAAATGAAAATGATATATCATATGAAGAATTAAGAAAGAGATACGATAGAAAGACTAAAGAATTGGCTGATATGAAGAAACTTCAATTTGAATATGCCAGAGTATTAAATAATAATCAAAAACTAATGGAACAACAAAATAGACATGACACTGAAATTAAAGACTATGAAGATATACTATCAAACTTTGAACAAATAAAGCGAGATCTCAAGATTGCCAAAGATGTTTTACTCCAACTCCACGATATTTCACCACACTACAGAGAATTGCTTGGCAAAATTGGTATTAGCAAAAAATCATTATCAGTTAATTCAGACTACGAACCAGATTCAAGACTATCAGCTTTGAAAAAGAAACATGTTAGCTTTAATTCAGATGTAAAATATTCTAATGATGGGGTAAATACAAAGACACTAAACCTTAACGATGAAGAATATTCCTTTGTTAAGAATATTTCATCACCAATTCCAACAAACTATAACATTAATAGCAATCAACTATTTGAAAATTCAAAAAATGACGACGATGATGAAAATGATGAATTAGAGCATGGTGAAACAAACAACTACTATTTTGACGAAGATGGCATCGACGATGCATTCGATGAATTAGATGATGAAGTTATTATTCATGATGATCAAGAAGAAAGCGATACCAACAGTGTTCAATACCATCCAGATGAAGACGACGAAGAAAAAGAAAGTATTAGAAACTCAATAGAAGAATTAGAAGATGAAATTGTATTACACGAAGATGTTGAAGACCATCAAAGCGACAATGACTCTATAGTTTTAAATTCATCTCAAGATTCAATTCAACTTATAGATCAAAACTTTGATGATGATATTAAAGAAGATGATAAAAGAACCAATAATAATAGTGATAATAATAATAATAAAGAACAAAATGATAATAGTTTACATGAAGATTATATTTCAAAAGAAGAATTTGAAATTTATCAACAAGAATTTGAAGAAAGCTTTAAAGAACAATTTGACCAACAAAGAAAAGAATATGAAAAAGAACTAGAATCGCAAAGAATTGAAAATGAAAAACATATTCAAGAAATTGAAAAAGAATTTGAAATAGAATTTGAAAAAGAAAGAAAACAATTTAAAAACCTCAAATTAGAAATCGAAAAAGAAATAAAAGAGGTCCAAGAAAATAAAAAACAATTAAAAAATGAAGTAGAAAAAGAATTAGAAAAAGAACTAGAAAAAGAATTTAGAGATAAATTTGAAAATGAATACCTAGAACGTATAAAAGAAATTAATGATCAACACAAGTCCGAAATTGATGAACAAATTAAACAACAAGAACAATATGAGCAAACATCACTAGAACAATATCAAATACAACAAGAACAATTTGAAACATTACTCTCTACATACAAATATGAAGCTGAAACTCTTCAATCTGTGATAAATACAAACTCTTCTGAAATTGAATCATTAATTCAAGGTAAAGAACAACTTAATCAATTTATCATATCTGTAAACAGTGATATATGTGCACTACTTGACCATATATTAATATCAAATATAATAGACACACCAAATGCTCAACTCATAAAGAGCAAACTCAAAACACTTCCTGATGCTACTCAAAGTGCTGAAGAGGAAGAAAATGAAAATATCCACATTCAAAAGAACTTGGCATATTTAGAAAATTTATTAAACGATATTATAAACGACTTCAAATCAAGACAAAAGAGTGCCAATCAACTAAACAAAGATGTAAAGACAATAAAAAATCAAGAACTAGAAATATTAAATACAGAAAATAAGACATTACAGAATGAAATTATCAAAATTCAAGAGTTCCACAATGAAAAAATGAATGAAATGACAAATGTCCTTAGCTCTCTTGAAAAAGAAAAAGAATCACAAGATAAACACGTAAAATTAATTTTACAAGAAGTTGACCAACAGTTAGAAAAAGCTTCACTTACTCAAAAGCAATTACAACAAGAAGTCGAAGAGAAACAAAACATAATCGATTCAGAAAAACAAGAAACAGAATCTCTTTTATTAAACATAAAACAAGAATATGATAATCTTTATCAATCCAATGAACATAATCAACAACAATTGGAATTGGCTCAGCAAGAGAATAAAGAATTAAAAGAAAAATTAACATATATAAATAATAATGACCAAGAGCAATCTTCAACCAATCAACAACAATTACAACAACAAAAAGAAATTTATGAATCTCATATCTCTCAATTAAACACCACAATATCTCAACTAAACAGCGAAAAAGAATCATTACAAAATGAATTATTAAAATTACAATTACAAATTAAACAACTACAATTACAATTACAACTACAGTCTGAGCAATTACAACAAGAACAAGAGCAACAATCTTTAAATCAACAACAACAAACTCATAACAACAATGGATCACCAATATTATCACCAGAGCCCTCCCCATCTAGATTAAATTCAAATCCCCCATCCTCTAAAAGAAAGAAAGAGTTTAGCTCGACCCCAATTAAATTTGGCACATCGACTACTACCACTACTACAACCTCAGCATCAAAAACCGCCTCATCTACAACCAATAATAATAGCAATTTTAGTAAAGGATATAGTAAATATACAAATGATGAATTATTCAACGATGACGATGATGATTATGCAAATACTGTATACTATACCAATAATAAGCAAAGATCATCAGCCTCCAAATCACCATATAGCAGACCAGGTTTAAGTAGCGCCAGTAAAATTAATAGAGTAATATTTGCAATAAACAAAGATGAAGATGAAATTGATAAAATTTTAGAAGAAAATGAAAAAGAGCTTCATGAAATTGAAATCTTTTTAAAGAAAACCACTCCAGTAAAATTATTGCCACCACCAATACAATACACACCACCACCACCACCACCAACCTTTAGTCGTCATAGTTCCTCTTATCAGTATCCATCATCAACATCAAGTATTAGATACCATAGCCACTACTCACCAAGTCATAGCGAAGCTTACAGTGATCACTATGGTAATGGCTATATAACAACTACCTCTAGATCAAGATCTGCAAACTCGACCCCAGTAAGATCAAATAATTTACTTTATCAAATAGAAGAATTACAAAACCAAAGATTAGAGGCCGATCAAAAAATACAAGAATTAATGATGAAATCATATAAATCATATATCGATGTTCTTAAATATAAAATAGACAAATCTAAAAAATAATATTTTCGATTAAAAAATAAAAACAAAATAATATTCTTTTGATATGTATTATAATTTTATTTTATCTTTTTTTTACTATTTATTATTTATTTATTATTTTTATTTTACTATAAATATACTAATTTTAATAAGTTTAATGTAAAATAAAGAATTATAAATAATACCCGTTTGTTTTATATTAATGATAATATCATGAACAGTTTGGTTTGGAGCTATATTAAAAAAAATCTTGTCCTAAAAAATTTCTACATTGTAGCCTTCCTTTGGATTTATATAAATTATTGTTTTTTTTTAAATAGAGAAAAAATAATATAAATATAATTTTACCTTCACTTTCAAAGTGATTTTTTTTCTCTTAAAAAATTTCTAAAAAATATCTAAATTTATGAAATTCGAAAAAAGTTTATTAATTTTTTCCATTTCACCAAATTTTTTTTTTTTAAAATTTATAAATTTCTTTTATAAAAATTTATTTACTTTAAATCTTTTTTTTTTTAAAATTTATTAATTTTTTTTATAAAAAGTTATTTACTTTAAATATTTGGGAAGAAATGTCAAGAGAACCAATTAATTTTAATTTTTCAGAATTAACATCTGTAATTGATGAATATATATGTCCAATTTGTTTTGAAACATATTATAAAAAAGAAATTTATCAATGTAGACAAGGTAAAAGATTTAAAAATAATTTTTATTTTAGTATTTACCAAATATTTGTTATTAATATCCAAATTATTTTAATAATAACTAGGTCATTGTTCGTGTAAAGATTGCTGGGAAAAATCATTTGAAAAAAAAAAGGAATGTATGACATGTAAAATACAAGTAAATTCTTTTAATGAACTCTCAAGAAATAGATTGCTCGAGAACTTGTTATTAAAAACAGATGTATGTTGTCCATATTCATTCAGAAATATTATTAGAGTAGATGAAAGTGAAGAATTAATAAAAGAAAGCAATGGGTGTAAAGAAATTATTAAATTGGAAGAATTAGACAATCATATTGAAAAATGTAGTTTTAGATTTGTAAAATGTGAATATCATGAAAAAGGATGCAATGATAAAATCAGATATAATGAAAATGAAATCCATATTTCCAAATGTGAATATCAATCATTAAATTGTACACATTGTTCTAATGTTTACTTATTAAAAACAATCGAACAACATTATCTCGAATGTCCTTCAATGTTAATAGACTGTTTTGTATGTGAAGAAAAAATAAAAAGAGGAGAAATGTATAATCATTTAGATATAGAATGTCAAGAGGTAACCATTTCATGTAAATTTTCACAATTTGGATGCAATGATAAAATAAAAAGATGTAATTTAGAAAATCATTTAGATCAAATAAACCACACCAAATATTTAAGTACAGCAATAGATGGTTTGAGTACATCAATAGAACATTTAAACATTAAAAATAATCTACTTTCAAATAGTATTGATGAATTAACCAAAAATAATGAACTTTTAATTATTAAAAATAAACAACTTTCAAATAGTATTGATGAATTAACTAAAGGTAAAGAAGATTTAAACTTTATAAATAATCAACTTTCAAATGCTATAAATGGATTATCTAGAGGCAAAGAATATAAAAATAAATGGATAATTTCCAACTATTCCAAAATTAACCATAATGTCGGTGATAGTTTGATATCACCTAAATTTGGAAAAGCTCCAAATTTATTTGAAATCAAATTATATAAAAATGGAGAAGATAACACATTTATTGGAAAAATAGGTATATATCTTCGTCCCACAAGAGAACAAAAAAACATAACATTCTCAATAACTTTATTAAATAAAGATTCTAAAAAGAATGATACTCTTAAATACAATAATGGTAAGTAATAATAATATTATTTATTTAATAAAAATTATAAAAAAAATTAAATTATTTTTTAATTATTAATTATTTATAACACTTAGATATACCAATAACTGGATGGGGATGGCCCAGCTTTATAAAAGGTGAAGAATTAAATAAAGAAAACGGATATGTAACAGAAGATGACAAAGTAGAATTTGAATTTACACTTACATATCCCAAACCAATGCCATTATTATCAAATTAAATTTAAATTATTTTATAATGCTTTTTCTATATTTTTACACCTCATAAAGTCTATTTTATTAAATAAAAGTTTTTTTTCATTTATTGAAAGTATCCATATATTTTTATTTTATTTTCTAAAAAAAATTTAAATTTTCATTTAATTCATCACTCATATTCCAAAAAAAAAATTTTATATTTTAAAAAATTAAAAAATATTTTATTAATATTTTATTTGAATATAATCCCATTGAAGAAAATTATATTATTAAATGTAATGTATAATTTTGAGTATAAAAATAAAATTGATATGCTTTAGATGAGGCAAAATAAATTTTGCATAATTTTTTTTTTTTTTGAAATTCGAAAAAAGCTGTAATGAATTTTTTTTTTTTTAAATCTTTTTTTTTTAAAAATTTTTAAATTTTTTTTTTAAAAATTTTTAAATTTTTTTTATAAAAATTTATTTACTTTAAATATTTAGGAAGAAATGTTAAGAGAACCAATTAATTTTAATTTTTCAGAATTAACATCTGTAATTGATGAATATATATGTCCAATTTGTTTTGAAACATATTATAAAAAAGAAATTTATCAATGTAGACAAGGTAAAAGATTTAAAAATAATTTTTATTTTAGTATTTACCAAATATTTGTTATTAATATCCAAATTATTTTAATAATAACTAGGTCATTGTTCGTGTAAAGATTGCTGGGAACAATCATTTGAAATAAAAAAGGAATGTATGCAATGTAAAATTCAAGTAAATTCTTTTAATGAACTCTCAAGAAATAGATTGCTCGAGAACTTGTTATTAAAAACAGATGTATGTTGTCCATATTCATTCAAAAATATTATTAGAGTAGATGAAAGTGAAAAATTAATAAAAGATAACAATGGATGTAAAGAAATTTTTAAATTGGAAGAATTAGACAATCATATTGAAAAATGTAGTTTTAGATTTGTAAAATGTGAATATCATGAAAAAGGATGCAATGATAAAATCAGATATAATGAAAATGAAATCCATATTTCCAAATGTGAATATCAATCATTAAATTGTACACATTGTTCTAATGTTTACTTATTAAAAACAATCGAACAACATTATCTGGAATGTCCTTCAATGTTAATAGACTGTTTTGTATGTGAAGAAAAAATAAAAAGAGGAGAAATGGATAATCATTTAGATATAGAATGTCAAGAGGTAACCATTTCATGTAAATTTTCACAATTTGGATGCAATGATAAAACAAAAAGATGTAATTTAGAAAATCATTTAGATCAAATAAACCACACCAAATATTTAAGTACAGCAATAGATGGTTTGAGTACATCAATAGAACATTTAAACATTAAAAATAATCTACTTTCAAATAGTATTGATGAATTAACAAAAAATAATGAACTTTCAAATATTAAAAATAAACAACTTTCAAATAGTATTGATGAATTAACTAAAGGTAAAGAAATTTTAATGATTAAAAACAATCAACTATCAAATAGTATTGAAGAATTAATTAAAGGTAAAGAGGAATTAAACGTTATAAATTATAAACTTTCAAATGTTATAAATGAATTAAACAAACGTGATGAATATAATAATAAATGGATTATTTCAAACTATTCCGAAATTAATGTTGGTGATAAAGTGACAACACCCAAATTTGGAAAATATTCAGGATTTGAAATCGAATTTCGTAAAACTGAAGATATTACATTTAATGAACAAGTAGGTATTTTTCTTAGTTCTACAAAAAAACAAAAAAACATAAAATTTTCAATAACTTTATTAAATAAAAATAAAAACAAGAACTACACTTTGACATTCAATGATGTGGGTAAGTAACAATATTTAATAGAAATTATAAAAAAATAATATAGTATTTTATTTTTTAATTTTTTATTAATTATTTTTAACACTTAGAAATAACAAATAATGGATGGGGATGGCGAGAATTTATAAAATGTGATAAATTAAATAAAGAAAACGGATATGTAACAGAAGATGACAAATTACAATTTGAATTTACACTTACATATCCTAAACCAATGCCATTGTTATCAAATTAAATTTCAACATTATAAAGTTTATTTAATGAATAAAAGTTTATTTATTATATTATTTATTATTTATTATTTATTATTTATTATTTATTATTTGTCGATTGTCACCTCCTCTGCATCTAATAACACCCCCTTCCGTCACAACTCCATCTTCAGCTGTACCATTACTTTCATTTAGATTATCTTCACTTTCAACAGCTTCATCATTTTCACCATTCCCTTGATTTAGAGAATTTTTGTGTATTGATCTCCATTTGGTTGTTGATATATAACCTAAATGTTTAATGACAATTTTTCAAGTGGAATTAAAAATGTTTACCGACATAATTAATTAATATCCACCTCTTTTTTCCAATCCATGAAAACATAAATGTTATATTTGTAAGAGAATTAATTCCAGCTCTTTTAAATACCTCTTGAAATATTCAAGTAAATCTATTATTTTCTCTATATCATAAGTGTTTATCTGAATCACATAATGTTGACAACTTGATTTGGTCTAAAACAATTCGTATATTAGTATAATTGTTGTCATTTAATAATATCTATAAAAATTATAGATTTTAAAATCTAACTGCATTTTTCTGCAGTAATTGAAAATTTTATTTTTTCTTTATAACTATAATTTTGTTTATTTATATTTTAATAAAAAATAAATAGAAATGAAAATATAAATAAAAAGAAAAAGAAATAAAAAAAAATGTAATTTAATTCTGGAATGAGAAAAAAAAGATACCCCTTCAATTTTTTTATTTGGTAAAATCTTTAATAAAAAACTGCTACTTAAATATTGCCTCTTATATTACTGTTATTATTATTATTATTATTATTATTTTTATTATTATTATTATTATTATTATTATTATTATTATTATTATTATTATTATTATTGCTATTATTATTATATTCTAAATCGAAATATTATTTTTATCTTTTAAATTTTATTTACATTTTTGAAAACTTTCATTATTTTGAATACTTTTCATTTTTAAGGTAATTTCTTCAATTTCAGAATCTGATATAGGGTCTTCATCCTCTGGAATCCAGCCCAAGCCTCTTAAGAATCTTTCTTCGTGTTCTTCATCTTCCTCAGTACCTTCTGAGTTAATATGATCATCAGAATCATTATTAATATCTTTATCGATAGAGGGTGATGAATTTACATTTAAAAGTTGTTGATGTTGATTATTAAATACAGTTTGTGATTTTAATGTACAAGTTGTTTGGTTAGATAAAATTTCTTTTATCTCTTCATTATTTTGAATTGAAATTGATTCTTTATTTGTCGTTATAGTGGTGGTTGATATTATTGGTTTATTTGCTGCTGTTGCTGATTTGTTTATTATTTTAGTGTTACTTTCAGATTGTAATTTTTCAAAGAATTTCTCTTTACCTAATAACTTATCAGGATTTGGAATTTTAACTTTTCTTGATGGATCTGTTAATCCCTTTCTTGATGGAGGTACCATATCATCTTTGTTTGCAATACCTGCAAATGTTGGCTCTGAGAAAGTTTTACGGAATTGGGATTTCAAATCGCCACGATTTGGAATTGTTGGAGGTGCTTTTAGAGTTTTCTGTTGTGCTGAAGCACCAACTGCACCACTCTTTTTCATTTGGCTGGGGACCAAAAGACCGATTGGTGTTTGCGATGGTGATGTTGATTGAGTGCCCGAGGTTTGGGGTTGAGAAGATGTAGATCTTGATTTTATGAAAGGTACCAATCCTTTTGCCTTCTCTTTTTCATCGGTATTATTAGATGAAGAGGACGATGATCCTGGACCATTAGCAGAAGTTGACGATGGTAATGAGGCAGAGGATAATGATGAACCAACTGCAGCATTTGCAATACTTGGATTGGGTATAGTTGGTGGAGAAATTAATGATGCCAAAGTTGGTGTATTTGGTACTTGGGAACTATTATTATTTGGAGTAGTTGGCGGAGTTTGTTGATTTAATGGTGTTGGTGAAGAGGATGGTGATGATACGGGTATATTAATTGTTAGAGTTGGTGATGTTGATCTACCAAGTTTTGTTGATTTATTAATAGTTTGAAGTGGTGGGAATTGAGAATCCTCTTCAAAATTGGTTTCTTCTGGTATATTATGAATATTACTATTATAATATTGGCTACTATTATATTGGTTGTTGTAATGGCTATTATATTGATTATTATAATCACTTAAAGAAAATTGATTAAAAGTTTCTTGGTTATTTACAAATGATGATGTTGATGATGAAAGAGATGATGATGATGATGAAAGAGATGAAAAATTCGATGACGATGATGAACTTAATGGATCAAAGTCGTGTGGGTGATGTGGGTGATGACCACTGCTATGTGGGTGATGGTGATGATGGCTATTTACAATATGATTAAAACTATGTCCAACACCACCGCCACCACTACTATTATTATTAATATTACTGTTACTATTGTTACTATATATACTATTTGTTGAATTATTTAAACTATTACTACTATGGTACAAACTATTATTACTATATACATTTGGATTATTATTATTATTACTACTATTATTCATATGATTATAACTTGAATAACCACGATAATATCCACTCATGTTAGGATAATAGTTATTTATATTATTATTATTACTATATGGTTTTGAAAAATTAATAGAATTTGCCATTGAAGGATCGATGCTATTTAAGTTTGGTTGTGATTTAAAACTAACCAATGGTGGCTTGTTATTACCACCAATATTATTATTACTATGAGTTTTATATTTATTATTTGTACTTGTTATATTGGTGCTATAAACTTCATCACTATCATTATTATTTGTTGATGTAAAAGTATGTGGGAAATTAATTGGTTTTGGTGTTATAAAATTTTTTGTGCTATTATAATCGAATGTGGTTGGTAAAGCAATATGCGTTTTTTCTGATGAAATTAATGGTGAAAATGTTTTTGCACTGTGGTGGCTATTATTATGATGTGATGTTTGACTATTATTATTGTTGTGATTATGGTTGAGGCCACTTGGAAAAGAAGGTGAACCACCTCCATTAGCATGTTCCATGTGTGGCGATGATTTAGAGCGATTAAGCTTAGGTGGTGATTGTTGATCGCCAGTTAATGTTATATTATCGTTATTTTTAATATTGGCTGAAGATGCACTAATGTCTGATGTTGCAACTTGTAATGTTTGTGTTATTATGGCTGATGGTGATGATGCTATTGTTTGTGCATTCGCTAATACACTATTACTTTTAAAATTAAATGTACTTTTTTCCTCTATTTTTTCTATTATTATAAAATTATAATTAATAAATAATTAATAAAAATAGTATTTAATATAATACTTACGAGAACGTAACCATTCTGGTACAAAAGTTGAATCTAATTGATCTCTTTCCATTCAGTTTAGTGAAATACTATTCACACACCCGATATATATTTTTTTATATATTTATATTATCGAAAAAAAAAATTAAAAATAAATATATTTAAAAAATTTTTAATTTGTTATTTTATTATTGCTGTTTTATTTTTTTGGTTTATTAAACTATTAAAATATAATTATAGTTTATGTTATATATATTTTTATGTTTTTCTATTATTATATGGATATTGATTGATATTTATTATATAGCACAAATTTGATTTAATAAATAAATAAATAAATAAATTTTTTTTGGTGATTAAGATTTAAATAAGGTGATTTAAAATTAATGGTTTTTGTTTAATATTAACTATTATAATTTTTGGTTTGAAATTCGAAATAATATTAAGAAAAAAGGTTTAAAATTAATTTTCCTTTTTTAACAAAAATAAATATATTAATTTTAAAACTAATATATAATATTTTATAAATATATATAAAAAAATATAAAAAAAATCTAATTTTTTTTATTTTTTTTTTGTTTTGTTTTGTTTTTTTTTCTTTTTTTATTTATGTGAATAATTTAATTGATTTGTAAAAAAAAAAAAATTTGAACTTGAAAACTATAATAATTTTATTGTTGATTCTGTTTTTATTGATAAAATATAATTATTTGAATATTTTATATTGGCAAACAAAAAAAAAATATTTAATTCTACAAAAAAATAAAAAAAATAAATATATATAAAAAAAAAAAATAAAAAAATAAAAAAAAAAAAATTAACGATTTGGCTTTGAAAAAAAAAAAAAATAAAAAAAAAAATAAAAAAATTATATAAAAAATGTTTGCAAATTTAGCTTGTTTTGTTGATTCAAAAATTGTTTTTTCAAAATAAAATTGATTAAATTATTATTTGTTTTGATTAATTTATTTTATTTATAATTTATGAAAATATAAAAATGGGTGAATAATAATTATAAAGTTTTTTTGTTTGGTTTTTTTTTTTTTTTTTAACAATGTTCTATTATATTGATTTTTATATTGTGTTAAACTATTACTAGAGAATGAAATAAAAATTAAAATTTTATAATATAACTATTTATTACTATTATTATTATATTATTGGTCTTTGGATAGTTTGAAAGTAAAATAAAAAAAATAAATAAAAAAAAAAATAAAAAAAAAAAACTGTGTGAATTTTTTTATTTAATTTAATTATTTTATATATGTGAAAAAGTTTTATTATATTATTATTATTATTTACAGGGGGTGTGTGATTTTTATATTATTATGTTTATTATAAATTTAATTATTTTAATTCTTTATTAGGTAGTATTTTTCTTAAGATATATGATTTTTGTGTTTATATAAAACAATACAGTAAAAGCATAGATTTTTATATAAAACAATAATAATTAAAATAATAT